TTTATTGACCTCACTGACTGAGAACGGAGAAAAAGAGAAGGTGTGTAGAAGATGTGTGTAGTTGTTAATTTGTTGGGATTAGATGCATGTAGTTGTTAATCTGTTGGGATTAGATGTGTGGTTTTAAGGCTGTTGAGCGTTTCATGACATTACTCAACAGTAAATCTTTGTGACTCGTGGGAGAACTCGGAGTTCATGTTTCTATGTTGATTGATTTCTTCATCTTCTCTGGTTGGTGTCAGTGTGGTTCTGACCCATTTCTTTGCTCCTGTTTTCAGGTGAACCCATCTGACAGGTACCACCTGATGCCCATCATCACACCTGCCTATCCCCAGCAAAACTCCACTTACAACGTCTCCACGTCAACACGCACCATCATGACCGAGGAGTTCAAACACGGTAAGCGGTCCCTCGGCCTCAGCGCTTCACGGAGCACCTTCAGAAGCTGAGTGCTGTGTGTCGTCAACAGGTCTCAGCATCACAGATGAGATTCTTCAGGGCAAAGCAGAATGGTCCAAACTCTTTGAGCCACCCAACTTCTTCCAGAAGTACAAGTGAGTGTTGATATTCCCACAGACAGGACCACAGACCCAGTAAAGGGTTCTGGAGTTCCTCAGAGAGGACAAGATTCTCTTTTGTTTAGGGTTAGGGTTAGAGGACCTGACCTTGGTAGATGGTTGAAGTTCAGAGGACCTGACCTTGTTAGGTCATACCAAGATGGCTGCACTCAGGGAAGCCGCAGCTTCACTGGGTCTCAGTGAGATCCCAGTTTTCAGGAGTTTTGAAATCGACTCCAAGCCTGACTCAGCCTGACCAGGGCCAAATTAGCTGCAGCCGTCTTCTTTGTATGTTGATAAACCAGGAACCAGCTGATTCCAAAAAACAGGAAACCTGTTATCATAAATCCAGTTATATGCATTTTGTCTGTCCAAACAGGTCTCACTTGTAAATGAGTCTTCAAGGCTCAATGTGACTTATCTGTTTAAATAAAGGTTGAATGAATGAATGAAGGGCAGTACGGTGGCGCAACTGGTAGAGCTGCTGCCTCTCAGCGAGCAGGTCCCTGGTTCAAACCCCGGTCCAGGGGCCGTCTGGGTGGAGTTTGCATGTTCTCTCCGTGCATGCGTGGGTTTTCTCCGGGTGCTCCGGTTTCCTCCCACAGACCAAAAA